ACTTATCCAAAATATCACGTAGATTTTTTGCTGGTAGCTGTGATTCAATGAAAAAAAAGCAATCGGTTGTTTCCAGGGAGAATAAAGTCCTCTAACCATAATAACGAGAACATTTCTACATATGGAATTCCTCTTATTTGCCTCTCCAATATCTTCGAAACCAATAATTTCATCACATCCTGTATCAAAAAAAAAATGGATTTTAAAGCCATCTCATCTATAGATATCACACATCGCTTGTCCTGTTCGAGCATTGTTTTAATTTTAATTTCTGAATTTTCTACTGTTTCTCTCACGATGTATTCTTCAAAACTAATTATCTCCTGAAAACTCTTGCATAAATAGCATAATTTTAATGCATACTGAATTAGGTAGGTACCTTTTGTAACTAACTACCTATCTCATTATGTTTGCTCAGTGCTCACAGACTAATAAAGACAACTAAGCCCGAGAATGACGTGGAGACAACCAAGTTGACGCATGCGTCTACGAAAAAGGGACACAAATGGCCGTCTTTGTCGCTTCTCTGTGGTAGGTATTTTCGGGTACCGGTCTCTCTGAACACAAGAGAAATTGTCGACTCGAACAAACAGACAAATCAGATGTAGCGGAACTTCAGTTATCCCATTAGAAGATACAGTAATACTCGACAAAACTCAAAATTACTATCTAGGATATCCTAATATCTATGCACTTATTGAATCTGGACTACGTTATGGAATACCTTCTTGGGGAGCATGCAACTCATCCCTTCACTCTTCTGTATTGATGTTGCAGAAGAGGGCACTAAGATGTCTCTGTAAAGTAAACCCCGAATAATCGTGCAGGAACTTGTTCACTGCCAATAAAATTTTAACAGTTGTCATACTTTTTATCCTAGAGACTTTTTGCCTTATTTGCCTTATGCTTATTTGAAATCCCTGAAAGAATATGTAAAACATTGAAAAGATTAGCTGAAAAATAACAATTAGGAATTACCAGTTAGGAATTACACGTTAAAAGGTAAGGCCCTGTTAGTCCTTAGCTTTTGACTTTTGAGAGTTGTCATTTAGAGAGGTGCGATAGCTGGTTAACGGAAAAAACAGATTTAAACAGATATTAAGCAAAAAAACTTAAATTACAGTGAAATAAAATACAAGTCAAAAAAACTTTCGGTTTGGTTTCGGTTTCGGCGGCAAACCTGCCGAAACTACGACCGAAACCGAAACTGCATTCGGGAGTTTCCGCGCTGTGATCGGTCATGTTCGGCTCGTTAAATTTCATACAAGTGATATTAGGTAACAACTCAAATAAGTAATTTTATGTTTAATATTTTTGAAAACCCATTAATAATATTCAAAAGAAGAATCTATGCCTACTCAATAAACACCTCACCTATTTTAATTGTATTTTTGAAGTGTCATTAATATTTGTTTTTCCGTCAAAACATAATCCTTGTAAGGGAGTTTCGGTTTCGAGACCGTTGCCGAAATTCGTTTTCGGTTTTAGTTGTAAAAACCAGTTTCGGTCGGGCACTAGTTCTAACATACAAAACAAGTTGATAAGGCATTTCAAACTAACGTTGCCACGAAAATTATTTCAAGTTTTTTAAAGGAAGCCATCTAAAAAGAACATTACTATGGTTTTTACTTGTTTTCTTATTATCAATACCTCAACATGAAATAAGTTTTGAGTATATTGCAATAAGATTTGAGTGTATTTTATCGAATTTCGGTAACCACATGGTTTTAATTTATTTTAATTTAATTGTTGCAATAAACTTGAAAACAATAACATTTTTGAATAGATAATGACGAGACCTTTCAAATGATATATCTAAAAAAACTGGTGGTTGTACCTGTCATTCGACGGGAGATGAAGGTAGGGGTAGCATTTTTCCGTTGAAGTATGTCAAATTATAATTAAAATTTGACGTGTTTTGGGATTTTGTTAAAATATGTACCGTAATCGAAATAATGAAACTATTCCATTTGGCTTTCACACACTGTGTATGTTTCGTATGTAAGGAATGTTTCAATTTCCCGAATTTGACTAATTTATAATTCCAAAATACCAGTCACTGAATTCCTCAGAAATGACTGACGTTTTTGCCTTAATAATGTGTCTCTTGAAGTGGCGTACTGAAATTATACTGAACAGATGATGAAATATATAGAATCACAATCTGACAGCAATGTTTTTCTTATAATGCAATAATATTTCTGGAGAATTTAATGTCTACTATTATGAAATTGTACAATAGCTACAAATGTGTTGTAAATTTTCAGATACTCACTACATCTATCTGTAAATTATTTCAGTTACTGGTGCGAGTTTCATAGTATTCAATGGTGCCCTGAAATCTTCTAGTGGACTTACTGCAAAATCCAACATAGTGGAAGATGGACTGATGATTCAAGTACCGCCAGAACACATGCAGCAAATCAGGGATAAGTTGAGGGCGATGAAGGACCACACAATAGCTTGCGGCTGTGTAAATGCTGATTCAGATGAAACTATTAATATTGTGTGGGGCGAAAACGATGTGAATTTTAATGTGGGGTATGTATCTTGCTTTGATGGTGAGATTTTTAGATATTTGAACGATAGCATCCAAACGAAAATAAATTCAGAAAGAAAGTAAAAGAATTCCTTGTGGAAAGGCCCTATTATAGTGTGGACGAATTTTACCAAGGCTCTATCGAGTAATTGGCATGTAGCTTTGTATAAACAAATTATTGAAATCATCACGAAATGGCTACCAATGCATTACATAGCATTATATATTTAAATTCACTCAATGTTATACGAAATGAGTAATATTGCTAAAACATCAACTAATACTATCATTAAAGAAAGATACAAACAACTGAAATTAATTTATATAGAGAAAGTGAGGCAAGCAAGATACACATTCAATAATAATAGACTGTAGAATTCATCGAATATAACAAAAGAGAGCTGGAAAATAGTGAATGAAAAAAAGGTGTATCAAATAGTAACACAATCAACCAATTAATTATAGACAATAATACAGTATCTGACCCAACCCAAATCTGCAACATTTTGAGTAATTATTTCACTAATACATCAGGTACTATCCCAGACCGTAGTGGGCTAACGATGTCACCAATGTATGAGCACTCATTCTTTCTAACACCAATAGCACCCTATGAAGTGGAATCAATTATCACAAAAACTACATCGAAACCGTCAGCTGGTATCGACGAAATAGATGGCAAAGTAATTCGTTTTGTGAAAGAGCAAATAAGCAAACCATTAGCACATATAATTAATAAATCGTTCACCTCTGGAAAGTACATTGATTCCTTGAAAATCTCTAAATCAATACCTATCTATAAAAATAAAGGGTCGAGAGATGACATGAATAATTATAGAAATATCTGCTTACAGAGTCAGATTGCAAAGATCATAGACATGGCCTTCAACACGAGATTAACAAGTTTCCTTGAATCTCGAAATCTCTTAGGCTCATCTCAACACGGTTTTCGACAAAACAAGTCTACCAGTTCTGCTATGGCAGAATTATGTTTGCAACTATATGATGCTTTGAACTCAAAAAACAGCTCTTTCGTACTCTTTTTTGATCTGAGTAAAGCGTTTGATACGGTCGATCACAATCTCCTAGTTGAGAAACTCTATCTCACCCAAATCCTTTCGCATAATTTTCCACGTAGTGGAGTAACAGGGGCCCAATTGCTGCGAACGGCGGCGAATCGACATTTCACGGTCAACACGAACACTGGCTGATACAGCTGCAATATTTTATTCGGTCCTCACTCTACGTATGCGGGTGGGTTGGTGGTTTAATGTCCAATAATGTAAACTGGGTTCGAAATTTAGTCACAAGCTTCCGAATAGCTCCCTCAGTAGGCCGACGAAACTGCCCATGAATTGGAAGAAGTGCACGATGCACTTTCTTCACCAAGCATGAATTTTGATAATAAAATTCAATAACTTGCAAGCATTGTTCATTCGTAAGTCGATTTATGGTTAAATTATAGACCAAACTGAACAAGTATGACAATGATACAAGACACTATTCACGGGTGATCTGTCAAAACAGTATTGTCAAAAAGATACCAGTAAAATATCACTCATTAGTTGAAAAATATATATAAAAGAATCACCAAAAATCTACATTGTACTGCTACCCAGCAGGATCGAAGGAGAGATGCTGCATTCTACAAATGCTCTGCAACCGTTCCTGAAGAGTGATCAATGAATACTGAATACTAATACTTAATAGTTTCTGTTTATGATCTTGACTTCGTCAATATTTATAAAGATTCATATGCTGAGGTTGCGACTTTGCTCGGGTCACAGTACTGAGGTAAAATGCTCGATATGTATCCGTGCGTATTTGGAGACTGTTTTATATTTCTATATCCTGTAATCGTATCAATTTTGATGTCTATGAACTTGGAATATTAAAAGATGGAATTGTAAATACTGAGTGTTTTTGTTTTAGAATATCGAAGTTGAGGTTGAAACATCTTTCAATCCATGTATTTGTTTGAAGAAATTTCAATTATTTCATAGCCATTTTTCATATTTGACAATAGTTATAATGTACCTGTCACTCTTGTCATTGCTCGTATTATTAATCTGTTTTTCTTTTCTAAATGAAAGTAACTATTATAATATTTGTGTAGAGTAACATCAGCCATTGACGGTATGTCATTGAGTGGAATACCATCCATCAGAGTCCATAATGGGAAAAATCATGTCTGCGTTAACGGGAACAGGATCATTAGATGGACAGAAGTTTTCATCATTCAGAACGGAGAGGACAGTCCCAAAAATCAAGACCCAATCGACGTATCTAGATTATCGGAAAGCATTGCAAAAGCAACTTGCGATGCTCTAGTCAAATATCTAGACCTCTTACTGACAAACAATTGCCAGAAGTTGGGCATCAGAGTCACCTTGCAGGAAGACAATGTAATTATTATTTTTATTATTATTTATCTTTGTCATTTTCAGTAATTCTTGATGGTTTTGTGAACATTGTTCTCATTGAGCTAAGGTCATTTAATAGTGGGTTGTTTTTTAGGAAAAACTCTATAAGGATGTTGACTTTTTTGGGAAAGTGTTGAAATTTATGCACACTTATGTTTTCGGTGAAACTATTACATGGGCTGAAAAAATCCCGGGCCAAAGAAAAAAAAAACGCGTTTTTTTTTTTGTTAAAACTTGGCTTTATTCATTAACGTAATCTACATCAAGAGTCGCACAATCATTCCAGTGCTGCTCTAACATTTCAATACCACTTTTGTAGAAAGATTTATCTTTTGCCTTGAAATAGGCCCCAGTTTCAGCAATAACCTCTTCATTCAACGAAATTTCTTACCAAATTTGGCAAATATGGTGGCCGTGGGAGTAATTCGAAGTTCAATTCATGTAGTTTTGCCATTGTTTTGATTAACTTGTGACACAGTATGTTATCTTGATGAAACGAAATGTTTTTTCTTTGCCATATGCGGTCAATTCTTTGCAATTTCGGCCTTCAATCGCTTCAATAACACTATATAATATTCACTGTTGATAATATTTTCTTTCTCAAGATAGTCGATGAATATTATATCACGCACATCCCAAAATACCGAGACTATAACCTTTCCAGCCGATTGCTGTGCTTTCAGACGATTTGCATGAGGTTCACCAGTTGCTCTCCACTCAGATGACGATCGTTTTGATTCCGGAGTGAAGTGATGGATCCATGTTTCATCCATTGTCTCATATCGATGCAACAATTCCGGTTTGCTATGTTTAAACATGGGCAAACACTGCTCAGAATCATCAAGACGTTCTTGTTTTTGGTCAACAGGGAGCTCGCGCGGCACCCACTTTGAACAGAGCTTTGTCATAGTCAAATGCTCATGAAATATAAAGCCAACAGGTTCTTTTGATATATTTACAATGTCAACTAATTCACACAACTTCACTTTTCGAACATTCCAACCGATTTTGTGGATTTTTTTATGTTTTCTGGTGTAACTTCCTCATTTGGACGTCCATTGCTTTCTGCGTCATCGGTGTCTCAACGACCACGTTTCAAGTCAGCAAACCAACGTTAAATTGTTGTTTCTGATGGAGCAGAGTCCAGCCATTGCTTCGCTCGAACGAATTGAAACACAAAATTGTTTTTGATCTATTGTTTCAAAAATAACGAAAGTAGTGTCACACTTGGCACAGTAACTCACAAACTCGCAAGAAGAATATCATGAAATTTCAACAGCTGTCTTTTAAAGGTTAGTACTAACTGAAAAAGCTGTGAATGCAATAAGGCTGGCGCCATCTATGTGTTAAGCCCGAGACTTTTTAGCCCAGGTAGTAAGTTTTCAAAATCCATGTATTTTGAAATCCGTTTGAAATTTTACTCGAAAATTCCAATGCTTATCACGTGAATGCTTTGATGTCGCATGCTCTCAAACACTGGTTAACTGATAACGTGGCACAAAGTTTTTTCCTAGTCTCATGTGGTATCTCAATTTCATAATTAAGTTACTTACTACACTACACAAGGAAAATAATAAGAAAACGGTACCTCAGTTAGCACTCGTTGAAAAAATGTTGAAATGGGTGCTTCCAATAATCAGTTGTCGTCCCCATACGAATCACAACCCTCAAAAGTTGTGCGAGCTACAGATTAACGAAATCTTAATTGTCTATGTGCGATTCCTAACACGGACTTATGTCTTCATATACTCTTTTTTGAAGTTCATTTTCAAGTAAGTTTTGATAATATATGTTATTTGTTTTACCTTTCAACTTGCGATTCCTACTTATCCTAATTTGCATTTCTTTGAAAATCAATTCGATGTAAGTTTTGATAACATTTTCTAATCATTTATGTCAAGAATCATTGTTTTTCAAGTTTTCATGAAAATTGAAATTTTGAAGTTAGAAAGAAATTGAATAACAACAAGTATTGGGTAACAATAATTTGTACTTGCTTTATTTTAGTTACTATACATAGTTGTTAAATTTCTAAATTCCACAGAGCCACTTCAGAGCAATGAATTCATAGTCCATTTCAACTATTGATGCGGAAATTACTATAAAATGAAGAAGCCTCTGAGACTGTTGATGTTTTGAGAGCAGGTGTTGTCATGCACTTTATTGTTTGTTAAACGTCATTTGAGAATTATGTAATTAATTAAACCAAAACTAAATTACACAAAAATAAAGAAAAGTTGCATTTTCTAGAATCTCTTTATGAAAAGTACTTTCATAAAAAATCATCCCGTTTTTTATAAAATATGACAAGTAATCACCACCCGAAATGAACAACTTCATTTGGCATACACCCTGTCTACAGATTGAATTCCATCTACTTGATAAGTTGGAAATAGTGTCACTATTTTTCGGGTTTGAAGGCGGCCGATTTTTGGAATTTCTTCCTGACGGTTCACTGACGCTTGTGGCTAGCTTCCTCAGAGGTTTATACATCCTGAGTTAATATTTCCAATGACTGGATATTACGGCTGCATAAGGCGTATTTATATTGACTCAGGTTGTTTGGTGTGCTAATACCTTTACCAGGATTAGGTAAATTGTTAATAACATTGGTTGGGGGCAATGAGTTTCGTGTTTTTAAACAGAAATCCGTGGGACTGCATCTTAACCTTTCGCCGGCACGAGTAGCTGGCTTCTTCAGATGTTTATTCATCTTAATGATTCACCGATGACTGGTGATTTCTAGTTCGTAGTTTGTATTTGTGTTGACTCAGGTAGTCCGCCTCTCTTGTTGATGTGTTGGTATTGGCCGGTGTTATTAACTGTTGATGACGTATCTATTCCCGCCGTACCTGTTAGCGGGTTGTTATTGGTTACAGTATTTATACTTGACTAATTAATGAGTGACCTGTCGTCTCTAAGAGCCGTAACATTGCATTGCCCTGTTGCCACTTCGTCATCTTTAAGTATTTATTTTTATTTATAAACATATAATTGGCCAGTAATCAGAATAGATCTGGTGTTATGGCCTACAAAGTATTCTTTGATTAACATAATCTTGTAGTTATTTTTAACAATAACACAATAATAAAAAAAGTATGTATATAAAGACAAAAATTTGAAAACATAAAGATGGACTTTGAAGGTGAAAGAAAATAATAAAATAAAATAAAGTTCCACAACTACATGTTGGTGTAACTATCGTTTGATAGCTTCAACATAGTAAAATTATACTCAATCAGCCTACTTTCTAAACAGTTATCAGCATGTTTGAATACAATTTTTTTTAAGCTTTTTTTAGTTCAGTCATAGAAGCAACATTTGTGAAGTCTACAGGAAATTTATTGTATTGCTGGATTCCTCTATATAGATGGGTGAATCCTGATTTTTCTTTGTTCTCATGTATATTTGTTTCAGTCTTATAGCATTTCTTGTATTGTGATTATGTGAATCTCCTACTGTTTCCATGGTGGTATTACATAAGATGTATTCATTCAAGATATAAGTATGGGATTCCAAATCCGGTTAAGTATTACGGCCTCCTCTTTTATGTTAGAGTTCTCCGTATGTTTATGAATTTCTAGGGCTTCCCGTACAAGCCGACTGTGGTATTCATGATCGGGGGCAAGCAGTTTCACATCTGCAAACAGTATCATGTGATCTCCTTCGTTAAGCGCGGATCACGCTCTTGTACGGAAAGCCATAGAAATACGATAGAACTACAACAGGAAAAGAGGAGACGGTAACGTTTAACCGGTTGCGGAAGCCTTATTCAATTTATCAGAATTCTGTGATGTCCTTCACCGAGTGCGTGTTCTGCCATAGCCGATTTTTCCTTTTGGCCTAGTCAGCGATATATGATAGATACGCACGTGCAACCATCTGAGCTTACTTCCCGTTTTGAACCGTGGAACTCTTCAGTGTCATGGCCTTGTTGATCTCGGGTACACTGTATCCATTCGATCTCAAGGTCACTTGAAGACGTTCCTGTTCTTCCTCGAGATGCTCTGGTTCACATATTCTGTGCGCCTGTTCAGTTAGTTTCACACGCATATCTAGCTTCTACCTCTAGGCTAGGGTTACAGAATTGGAAAACTCTTTGGAGAAACACAACGTTAAAACGGTTTTCAAACTCACCAAGGAGATACAACAGAGTCTCAGATCGCTGGAAGACAAAAGGGACCCACTATCAACAGCAGGAGTGTATCACATACCGTGCACTTATGGAAAGGTTTACATCGGAACTACCAAAAGATTCTTGGGAACAAGGCTGAAGGGGCATGAAAGAAACTAGGCTAACCAGACAAGTCGGCTGCGGCGAAACACGCACTTAGGAAAGGAAACCACAGGATTCTGTTCGAAAACACGGAACTCACTGCCCCCCACCAAGGATGTCACAGCCGACTGGTACGGAAAGTAAAAGAGATCCACTAAGAAGTTCAAGAATAGCGAACATCATGACGGCAGATAGAAAAGGGTCGACGAATGTTATTGACAATTTATGTAATCCAGGTGCAGGTATTAGCTGAGTCAACAAAAAATTTTTTTTATCAAAAATATAACAACAGCGTACAGTTCAACATAGTTAAGACACTATAAATATAAAATATGTTGTTATGCTCTCTAATCAGCAAAAATGCTAGTCTCGGGATTCACAAACATTCAATATGACAAGTGAAACACAAAAACTAGTAAACCACTACAAAGCCCATAGTAGTAACGCATCAGACATGTGCCTCGAGGTTCAGATGTTTTTTTAAACTATTGATGAATGAACTATAGCCCGGCAACTCACGTATATGGACAGATAATTCATTAAAGACTTTTATAGCCTGTGTAAAAGGATTGTATAATCCTTTGTTCGTTCTTACCATGCTCAGGTGCAAGTCATTTCTACTCCTTGTATTATACTCATAAAACTGGTTGTTGACTAGTAGATCGTTGTTGATTTTGATTCTTTTCTTTTTTATTTTATACATGTTCTTGCATTGCTCAAATTTAAGTAGATATTTAATTGGGTGTAATTCAGTCTGTGAGAATAAATCATTTGTGTGGGTTCGAAATGGAATTTGAAATAAAATTTTTATAAAGAGTATTTTTTAGTCTTTTTCAACTATATTTCATCTAAACTTTGGGATCAATCAGCCGTTTATTGTTTAGAAAAATTACCATTAATATTTTCTGATTCCGGAGAGGGAGCCTGAAAATAGTTACCAAGCCCAAGGCCGCAGGCGCGCAAAGGAGGGTTACAAATAAGGCAGCGGGCGCGCGTGTTAATAAATAAAATGCTTTTTTCAAATGAAGAAATACATGTAAAATGAATTCGAATTATATCAAAGAGGTTATGTACAGCGCCATCTGCCCGCGAATAGATCAAGCAATAATGACGATATATCAAGAAGTTGCGTACAGCGCCATCTGCCCGCGTACAGATCAAGCAATAATGAGGGTTACAAACATACATACATACATACAGATAAAGCTAAAATAAACACGCTTTACGCAGTCATAATATCCAGTCATCGGATATTAATTAACTCAGGATATATAAACGTCAGGAAGAAATTCCAAAAATCGGCCTTAACCATTTTGTCAGGTTGGAAATATTTTTATTAATTTTTTTTTAGGTTTCATATTTTGCTGGAAGCAATGGAACGAAGTTGCCTCCTATTTATATGAAGAGTCTAGATGATGAACTGATTCCTGTGCTCCACAGAATAACGTCAAATGATCTAAGGGAGAGTTCAATAGTATTGGAGTTGATATTTCGAATATTGAATGTATAACAGGAAACACCTTTTTGGGAATTGATCTGTGAAGTTTTCATAATTTGAGACTGAAAGCTCAACATGAATAAATGATGTCAGAAAATGCTGAGTTGAAATAGAACCTTATTAGATATTAGCTACTCATTTTACCTTAAAAAAATTTAAACAAAATTGAAATATATTACCCATTACCAGTATTACATTTTCAAAAAGTATTAGATTATGCAGTAGACTAATCATATTCATGGGAAACTTTATTAGTTTCATAGGTAGGATTATTATTCGAAATATTTTGTACTTACTAATAAGATCTATTTTGATTTCCACTTTATACATTCAACACAACCGCGACATGTGTTTCGATATACAGTAGCTTCCTCAAGCAGGAAATCCTGCTTGAGGAAGCTGTTGTATAGCGAAACACGTGTCGCGGTTTTGTAAGCCTTTTATAGAAAAAATCAAAATAAATTTCATTAGTAAGTTTTGATATGAATTTTCATCAAGTATTGGCCAGTTCTATTCAAAATTTTGTACTATCAAAAATATCAGGCAACCTTTCTTTAACATTTGTCTTTGTTCTCTCTCAATAATGAGAGTTCTGAATGTAACTTTTTTGTCACTATATCAGTATTTTCTGGTTATCATAAAATTCTTTGAAGAGTTTGTTGTGAATAATTTTAAACTGTCGTGGGACGAGATGAAGTTTTGTGATAAATCTTATTTTTGGACATCTAGTCGCTTGAATAAGCTTAAATTTGGAACACAAGCGTTCAATATATCAGTAAATAGGGCTTATTGGCAATTAAAAAGATGCCCCTATTGCAGCTGAGACGTTATTTCATAATTATTATATTTCTGCTGTACATTCCAAACAAAAAATATTTCATTAGTTTCATGTTAATGAATAATCTTTATTGATCCAAAAAACAAGAATATTCATAACAGAGATAAAAAATGAATTAATTATTTGAATACGAATTGATCAATAACAACCCTGATATGCTGAAAACTGTTTCATTTGATTGGCTTATAGTTTTGAAGGGAATCTTTTTATTAATATCATTTTATGTATACTTTGTGCACTGTCTAATCATAAGGCTTTATAAATTCATTTTAATACAATCTATAGCTTAGCATAGTGAAATTATATCTTGATCGACTTCTCCAGTAAAACCAATTCATATTATAAAAGGTTTTGGTATTTTATTTATAGAAAAAATAAGTAATCTAACTTATTGTTATTTGTTGAAATGCTGTACATTGAATAATCATTAAATGTAATATAGTACTATATTTCTAGCAAGAATGATTACATTGAATTTACCTATTTTTTGCCTAGGAGAAGTTGAAGGAGACATTTGAAGAGACATTGCAAAAGACGTTTGAAATGATACCAGAGGCCGAACGCATTGCACTGATATGAGTATATAAGATAAGGTAAATAATATCAGGCTGTTTTGTCCATTTGTAATTCCGTCAGAATAAAAATTGTGTGTTCGAGATTCGATGATGTCGACGAAGGCCGTTTTTGCCTGGTCCTGATTGGAAAAGGTTCTACCGGTGGGAAAGTTATCGAAGTGCTTGAAAAGATGGAAGCTGGTTGGCGAGAGGTCTGGCGAGTATGGTGGGTTATGGTTAGTGAATCATACTAGGAGCAACCGACCACCACACAGTAACCATGGTCTTTTTTTGATGGGTTTTTGCCTTTGGAAAGTGTCTGGGTGGCTCATTGCTGTCTAACCAATGTCCTGAACATATCCTGTTGTTATAGATGATGCATTTTTCATCGCACGTGGTGATCCGATCCAAAAAAGGATCGTTTTGGTTGCGTGAAGGCTAAGAGAACCAATCTCGAAACATGACAATTTCTGACAAAATGGTTTAGACTTTCACGGCTGAGGTTTTCAGTGTCATTGCTTTTCGAGTTTCAATGCCGTGGATTTTTAGAATTTCATCCTTGAAATTCCAAAAATCCACGGCTTTCAAACTCGAAAAGCAATGACATAGATGACAATTTCTGTTGATTGTTCAAATCGTAGGGAACCCACTTTTCGAGCTTATTGACCTTTCGAATACAGTTTAAACCATAAAAAACCGCACGGGAGCTGACGCCCAGTTCTTCCGCTATCCCACGCACTGTTTGTAATGACTCAGTCTCCACTAGGATCCCCAAATCCTCGTCCTGAATTACCGTAGGTCGACCACTTCTGAGCTCATCTTGGAATCAATCTGTTTTAAATGTATTTTTCCGTTTATCAGCTGTCGTCCCCATACGAACGATAACTCTTAGAAGTTGAGAAACTTGTTCGAGCTAAGGACTAACGAGGTCTTACCTTTTAACGTGTGATTCCTAACACGGTCAATTCCTAACATGATCAATCATTTATTTCCCATAATTGGCAACATACATGGTATAGGGATAGTCATAGATACTATACAACTATAAAACTTACAAACTAATGGGTGTATCTTACAAATAAATCAATTACGTGCACAAAAATTCGGTCACGGTATAAAAAACTTTTGTGCAATAAAAATACTTCGAGTTCTTTTTTGACTTCTATTTTCCCAGTACAATTTTCTACTTACTCAGGTAATTTGTTGAATAGCCTTGGCCCAATACAGTTTGGCGAAGAACCGGTAATATTTAATCTGGCATAAGGTATACGCAAGTGGTTCTTTCATCTTATATTAATGTTGTGTGTGTTATAATTCTTCGGGATTCCTTTCCTATTTCTATAGACAAATAAACATATCTGAAAAATAAATAATCCAGTCATAGTTAAAATGTTCAGTTTTTTGAAAAAATCTCTGCAAGAGTGTTGTCTTGATTTTCCTGCTAAGTACCTTACGGTTCTTTTTTGTGTAATGAATGTGTTCCTAGAATGTATGGAGTTGCCCCAGAAATGAATCTCAAACGAGATTCCGCCTGTGCATGGTGGAAGTTCATTAACTGTTCATGAGTTAGAATAGTTTTCATATTATAGATCAAGTAATAGAATGAATTAAGGTTATATATTAATGATTCACTATGTGTTTTGAACTTAAGATTTTTGTCTAGTTTAATACCTAGGAATTTCACAGTATCACTGGTTACAATTTCTTGACTAGATAGTTCAATTTTGAAGTCCTCACTGTGTTATTGGGCTGTCTGAAATTTTATGATAGTTGTTTTGTCTGGATTGGATGATAATTTATTTGACCTGAATCTCTTCATCAAACACTAATATAGATTCGTATTCATTTTGTAAGATGTTGTTAGATTTGTTAAAAATAATCAATGATATATCATCAGCATGTAATGTAAATTGTATCCTAGGAAATATTGTACGATTTCATTGATGTAGAGATGAAATAGTATAGGCCCTAAAATAGAGCCTTGCGGGACACCTACATTGACTTCTGAGTTTGAAGATGTACATTTTCTACTTTGATTTTTATACTTTATGCTCACATATTGCACACGATTTCTCAAAAATGATGCTACCCAATCTAGAGAAACAGAAGTCAACCCGTAAGAATGCAGTTTATCTAGTAGCTTTGTATGAGCGACACAGTCGAACGCCTGACTAAGATTATAAAAAATACCCATCGGGCACTCGCTGGCCTCAATGAATTTCAGTATTTCTGAATGAAAAGACTGTACAGCCGTGTTGGTAGGCATGCCAGGGCGGCTCCCATGTTGTTGTTTGCTTACAATTTTAAATTTCTGTGAGAAGTTCTCTATTAAGAAAAGCATATTCTAAAATCTCTGAAACGTAATTTTGCAAACTAACGTGAAACAGTGTGTTCATTAACAACATCATTGCCAATTACCTGGTTAATTTTTCGGGCTGTTTGACAGTGCTTTGGTTCGATTTGAATTCGACATTATGTAGTAATTAAAATTTGGAAAAAATGAACAGCATCAATGTATAGAGTTCAAAATTCTCTATCGATCAGTATATTCCAGATCTCTTCATATCTAGTTTCATTTTCAGCAATAAGAGGTAACTAAACTAATATGTCAATATTCAGCTGTATGAGAGGAAATGAGAAGTAATAGGGACGTAAGTTCAGAACTACGTCTTATTTGGTAATTCTCGATGATATATTTCTCAACTATTTTACAGAGAGTATAACAATTTAACTTCAAAATAGAGCTAGACAAACCTAAAGTTTGGGTAAATAAGTTGCCTAATTAGGCCATTTAATCAGCTCGAACAACAAAAGTTCGAAGAATATGACATCTGGTACAGAATCGTAAATTAACATTAAAAAGTTTCATTCAAATCCGAAACTAAATATTTTGAAATCATTCACTTGGAATATTTGGATAGTTACAGTATCGATAAAACAAAATTCTCAATTAAAATAGACTCGTTTTCTGTGAACAGAACTTCTTGGACAATCTAATACAATTTGTTTTCATCACAGAGTGTTCAATTAAATCATAGTAAACAACGGCAGTGAATAGAAAAACACTGAGCTTTCAAAACCACACAAAATTTGATTTGACACCATTTATCCACCTCATTGCCCACAAATCTAAAGGGATGATCGAAAGACTCTATTCTACACTTATCGAACACATTATGTCGCAAAAATTGATATTATCTCCATGATACGTCATATTATTTGAAATTGTTGGCATATCCACTGAATAAAAGGTAAATACAAAGAAAATTCAAGGAAATCATACCCCGTCCTTAACAAATAAAGAGAGATATCATCAATAGCATATGTTCAATATTTAAGTCTTCTACTGTAAATCTTGACTCCATTGTGATTAAGAAAAATCAAAGTATATTTAGTTTTACTATTGAAAAACAAAACAGTCCAACAGTTAACTTTGTGAAATAATGAAAAATTGTTACCTACAATAATAAAATTTGGCAGTAAATCAAACACAAACAGGGAGAATTCAAATTTCATTCAATATTCTGATGCAGATCATAAACAAGTACGAAATTATCAATTCAACGTGAGACGTATGAAATTCTTATAGAATTTCAAAATTATGTATCCAAGCATAGTACCAACTACTGACCTATAAATATTAAGAACTGCTGAAAATTCAAAAAGAAAAACGACCTCTTCATGGTGTGGTCATGTTGCAGCATGAACATGCCTAACGAAGCCATTGTATAGTGAAACACGTGTTCTTTGTTTTCCGTATTTATCATTTTTTTTTATGAATATAACGACCACTTCATGGTGTGGTCATGTTGCAGCATGAACATGCCTGACGAAGCTATTGTATAGTGAAACACGTGTTCTTTGTTTTCCGTGAGTAAATTTATAATTTTTTTGTATGAATATAGAGAAGTAAATGCCTTTTTTCCCAAAAAATTAAATATATTTCAACAATTCAGTCAGTCGGTTCCCGCCTATAATTTCACTATATCCACCAACCAGAAAACTACCAACATTTGGCATCATATTTGTTATAATCTATTCTGACAGTCATCATCAAAAAACCTTACAATAATCAAACTCATCAATACAGTTTATTATATAATTTTTCACTATAAACTGTACTAATGAGTTATAATATGGTTTTTCATCAAATATCGGCTAGTTCTATTCAATTATTAAAATATTCAGATGGATTTTTCCCGCCAATTGAAAATTTGTATTGACACCAATCAGAAAACGATTCGTAGTGACGTCATTAATAATAAGATTCGCCAGAATGGAACGATTCAATTTGTGTCAAATGTCAAATTTAATAATAAAAACAAACTTTTCGATTTTCTCTAACATCATTTAGAATCGGATTTGTGCTAGTGATAATTTCTCAGCTTTATTTTGTATTGATGTAACGTAACGTCAAATTCCGTTTCAAAATCAACCTCACGCACCGTATAGAAGTAAACTCTTCTATACGGTGCCTCACGCTAGTTCTGAATTATCATGAATACGTTTCAAATCATAGTTGATGTGACGTCATCGTTTCAACGACAGAATGAATGTTTTTGAATCACAGACGAAAACTTTTTGAATCCGTGAGCGCCCGAAAACGCCTCATAATTATTCTATGTCACTTATTTTACATCACACACTACTAAGCTATGTCAAAAGCTACAGTTCAACTAGCCGAAGAAAGATGTTTGTTCTTGCACTCAACACAAACGAATGTAAATGGTGTACCAAAAAACAGTTTTTTTATGTGTGTCAGGAACTAATAAATAGATCATGCGCAACCAAATATAGTTGATCTTGTTCCATATTGTGCATGTTACTGATTCAATCCTGCTTGAATAGAAAAAATACGGCACTTTTATTTTTGCTTGGGAGCATCATTCAGGCCAATCTTTCGTACCTTGAGAAACGCATTCGTCTCATGTCGAATTTGATTCCGTTTATAATTCTGCCATTCACATAACTATTGGCAGTTTCATATAATTGAGACAGACTGGCAACTGTCAAAGAATCGTATATCTGGCAACACAGCTGAAACTTCAGTCAGTGAATGTTATGTCAAATCGAATTGTTTTTTATTTTATTTTGGATTTGGATATAAGAAATATCTGCTAATGAAGAATTTACTACGAAATTTTATTTAATTTAAGTCGTGTGGTTCTCATATGTTTCATTGTCTCATAATGTTCTAATGAAGATTTTTGGAATCAGTGTTTTGTGTTGCAGCTGCCTCAATGAACTGGCGCCATTTTAGTGATTGTTTATGACCTTTATGATTTTTTCTAATAACTTCTCATTTTCTGGTTGAAGTCTTATTTTCCGCAATTGTCATAAAACGTTATCGTCAATAATTTTTTTGATATTTCAAGATGAACAGTACCCCACAGTCATGTACCAAGTCGGGAGATTCAGGATGCTACTTTGATACATCTCATTTGGTATTTGAAAGCACACCGAATTCAAAATCAGAAAATGAATCTACTATTTCGAGAAAGAGAAAAGCATCCTGTTTGTATAACTGTGACGTGAGAAAATTATCAGAAGTTCTGGAGTCATGTCCACCTTCTCCCCAATTTTCTAGTACCTTGAATGATTCTCTGATGAACAATTTGCAAAACTTTCATCTGCAAAATGATATAAGTACTATTTGTCAAGAAGGTACTTTGAATCAATTCAGGTATATAAATCATTATAAAAGATTATTTTTAGGACTCGAAAACTTGGAGCATGAACAATTGGAAAATAACGAGGAAAAATTATTGCCCTTGAAGAAGATATTCAAAAGCAGTGATGGTGTCAGGAAATTCTGGTCTGCCCCTAATACCCCCGAAAAATTATTAGTCAAAACTGTCCCACACAAGGCAAATACCAACAGCATTGTCAAGAATTTCTCTCAAATCAATGTTCACACACAATCACCCCTCAATAAAGATGCCTACGATATACTGTATCCTAATATACCACCACTGGATTTTAAAAAAACTCTCACACCACAAAAATTCAAAACTTGTTTGGACAAGAGCATCACTCCTGCAAAAAAGTGCCTTTTCTCTCTACCAAAAAAGGAATTATTCAGGAAAATTGTTACAAATAACATTATAATGGAACGGATTCTAAGGGAGCTCTCTAACGGAGATCTCTATAGGTTGGGACAAGTTTCTAGAAGCTTGAAGGATGCTATTCTATTGGATCCCAAAGCCTCCAATAGATATACGGGGTATTTGCGGGTTCATCACAATCATAAGGAAAATTATAGGATAACACCACCATCTTCACCAGAGCAAATTATTGACTCCCTTAAGGAGCCTAGCCCAAATTCCAAGAACTTTGTATATTTTTATAAAGTGAGTTTTTCGTTCATCACATGTACACTATTTGAAGATTATATAGGATTATTTTTACATTAAAAAAATAATTTTGTATTGTATAGTATTAGGTGGGACGGTAACCGGTTAGGTTAGCGTGAATGTTTCGTTCTACTCGTACAATCAACCTGTATGTTGAATGATGGATTGAGCCCTACGGTCAGTTGATCAATTCTAAGGGTTATCATTTGTAGGCGACTGACAGCTAGTTAACCGAAAAACAGTTTTCAACAGATTGTTATAAATAATGAATGAATAATAATATAATATGTAGAATGTTAAATATACATATTAACTGGTTGTTGTAAAACAATATTTTTAATATCACTGCTTTATCAGTGCTATTGGTGCAGTAATAACTACATGAGTTAGCTACCAATTATTGTTGTAAATAAGAACTGTAGCACAGTGTGTAATATTCATTTCTACCGAAGAAGCTACTGTGTGAAAATTGTATAATTCAATCATGGATCATGTTAATAATTTTGTATCAAGTAATGTATCAGTCCATCCACAATTTGAAACAATCATTGATTTTTGTGAAAATATTCCTTATTTTCAGATTGCTTGTGAACTCAACAAAAACCAGTCTCTCACCAAATGTCCTAGATGCAATAAGGCTTCTGTTGTGGAAAATTCCATTGGTCAGTGTCAAAATATCAACAGATGTGGCTATATATTCTGTAAGAAGTGCAACAGTTTTTCAAACAACCCGAAAGATTTTAGAGACAAGTGCAACAATGCTCAAATTATGGACCCAACAAAACCAAGGTATTCTTTTACAGGGTCATCCTATATAGATAACTTAAAAATACATAATTGCGGGTTCTAATAACTCAGAGAATAACACAAGCAAGATATTTATATGTCACTTTAATAAGTGCCACCAGTTGCTTTTGTATATTAGTTGCTACTTTCATGTTCTATTTTCTATTCGGCTATAAATGCTGTGATTTAATGTATCTAATTCTTAGTATCTTTATTTTATTGTTTTGATAGTTTCCTACACAACTTCGCATTGTCTTTATGGAAATAAAGTATTATTATTAATATAAATATCAGACTCTTGATGCCATATGCTTTTTTTAACTTTATTATTCATAAATATTCTCAAACACTCATACTCACTTCAGATCTACTCCTACCTACTTACTATTCAGTAGAAAAAGGTCCTACTTTCCGATGTTATGTCGTACTTTTCCATCAGTAACTAACAATAAAAAATAGTAACCTAACAACCAACTAAGATACATACACTTGTCCTGACAACTTTATTAAATTACAATGAGCATTGTAACTAACAATAAAAAATAGTAACCTAACAACCAACTAAGATACATACACTTGTCCTGACAACTTTATTAAATTACAATGAGCATTATAATCTGTAAATTTTATAATTTCATGTACCTGAATGCATTCATCACTCAATTTACTCATAAACTTCATACTTCCTATGCCAAAGAGTCCTTTCTCTTTTGTATATTAGGGTGAAAAAAGTATATTACGTAGCAAGCTTTGAAAAATCTCATAATTATTATCATATTTAATTTTGAATTTGAAAACTATGTTTGATTAATGCATACAAATTTGAATTTATTGATTCAAGTTGGAAATAATGATCATGCACGCAGTACGGCTTTATTCAAAAGTTTTCTGATTGATTCGGCCGTTACTTGATGAAGATCCACAGTAATTTCAAAAACTCCACAAATAAGTTTGTGGAGATCAAATCGTTGAGGTCTAGTTTTTGAAATTTATTCAAAAGTCTACTAATTTTACAGAAACTGGGTAATAAGGCATATAGGAAACCTTAAACCAAGAGACTCCTGTAGAACTTTCAAAAAACATAATATTCTAACGGTAACTGCATTATTTATACTGGAATCTGTGTGTATAATAAATAAGCATATATTAAATTTTGCTGCATCCTCTTCCCATTATAACACCCGAAACTGCAGACACACTCTGAAACTCACTGTGCCAACTAAAAACATTACCAGAGACTCCATATTTTACAACGGTGGAAAATGTACAATCATTTGCCTATGAACATAAGATCTGCCAATCAATATAAATGACTTCCAATTCAGGAAGTTAGTCAAACAATTTCTATCTGATAGACTCTATTATACTTTGGATGAATATTTTTTTATCTTTACTTATTAAGTAGCACTTAAGTTGTTACTTTTTATGTCTACTCTTTTATAAACTTGACTTTTACTCTTTTATATATACATATCTTTTATATCCTCCATTTTAACATAGTTTGTAGCCATGCACCATTTATATTTTTATTTTAATTTCAGTTGGTATGTATTGCATTTTTTAAAGTATGTACTACCCAAGCTTTGTCTACAAGATTATGTCTTATGATAATAAAGCATATTATTATTATTATTATTATTACCCACTAAGTAATTTTGTATCACATAAATAATGATGATAATAAATTGTACACTTTTGCACTCGCCTTCCACAATTTCAATAATTGATAGGGTTTTGTAATGGATCATGAGATATAATGAATATGATAAACCTAACTATTCCCTCAACAAATAGGGTGAAAAAACGTGCACATATGTTCATAATTATCTTTTACATCTAGTTCATGTTTCAATTAAAATATAAAAAAATAATTTGAATTTTTTTTCGAAAAATACATTCACTTTAATTCGAATGTCTTTCAAATACCTTTTTTTCAGGAATCAACTAGGTGACCTCAGCAACTCATCTGTTACTAGTGATTATATGACGGAATATTCAACATTCTTCTCGTCTTCATTAAACCTCAATTTATCTTCCAAATGCGATTTTTCTGGGCTCATATCAGATCGGCAAATGTCAACTCCAAAGCTTGCAGTGAAGAGGAATTTGTCCAAATCTTTTATGCTATCATCCGATGTAAGTAAAAATAAATATCATAAAGAACAAGTTGGTAACATCTAGAATAAACAGTCATGTGTTATTCAAAATAGTTGTCTTTGAGGGCGATACAAGGATTATAGCGGTCATATAATTTTTCTATACCATTTTTATAGTATAATTTGTCTTTAGTCTTAAAATAGACCTCAGTTTCAGCATATACCTCTTCATTGCCGCTAAATTTCTTTCCAGCAAGCATTTTCTTGAGGTCTGCTGCTGGAGAATACGATGGATACGGAAGCAGTTTGAAGCCCAATTCATTCCATTTTGCCATCGTTTTCATTGCTTTGTGATACGGTGCCCCCTCTTGATGGAAAAAGCACTTTTTTTTTCTTCAACTGCATATTGCATTTAAGCCAAATTGATTCGCATTGAAAAGTTCATGAAGGTCGAAGAAACGACTGAGTTTGATGGCTTTTTTTCATAGACTCAGACTAGAAATAGTGCACCACAATACTGCATCTAACAAATAATAATGTCAAGATTTTCTTTTTCAGGTAAAAAATAAGGTGCTCTCGTCTAACAATAACACAAGAGTGGTAGCGCCTCCCCAGAAATGTCAACGACGAACATCACTTCTTTCTGTGCTTCCCTCAGAAGATACCAACAAGTCCTATGATATCATGGAACCATCTAGTCCACCGAAAGTTAAACTTCATTCTGTGGGTTCGAAACAGAGCAAGAGAAACCTGAAAAGGTTGACTCGTTGATTTTTTAACAGCGAAAGCTCCTTTTGATGAAGAACTGGTTATACAGTTTTAAAATTTCATGAATATGTTTTCTTATTCATTGTACAGTGTTTTTATAATCAGTCGACAATATTGTTTCAAAACATGTAATAATTGTGATATTTACATCATTCCTTACTTTGTAACTGGTCAAGCAAGACATGACAACAATTTTCTTTTCAGAGAATGTGTTCGAACTTGCTGTACTACCCCCAGTAACTGTTTTACTATTATTATTTATTTTTCGATGAGGATACTAGGAATTTCAATGAGAATATTCCTATTCGATGGCAATTTTACTCAGAAAGAAATGGAGGGAATATTTTTTGTATGAGTGCTACTTTCTCCGGAACTATTGTTTCTCTGGAAACATTTTTTATGAATGAAATGTAGTAACTGAAAGATTGTCGAGTTTCCTTCTTGAAAAACTTTTGCCTTTCATTCTGTTAAACTTATTAAGTTGTAGTATCATAGGTTTAGTCAAGTTATACACAGTTTTGTAATAATTTCATTTTACAGTATTGAAAATACATATTGAACATTTTTTCTACTTGGTTTTTCACTTCCATTTGTGTACACACACTAAAAGATACTTGCATCCTGGACGTTGCTAATAAGGCAAAAGAGCAGAAGCAGAAGTAAATAATAACTTTAATTATGATAATAATAATATTTTTATTGCAAAACGATCTTCATAGGACACGGCAAACGTCAGATACAGGTTTAAAAAAGCAAGTTAAAATGTATTTATGTCTATAAATCGGGGGGGATGAAAATCAGCTGTCATACGACAGTTCCATACGAACGACAACTCTCACAGAAGTTGAGAAACTTGTGTGAGCTTAGGACTAACGAGGTCTTACCTTTTAACGTGTGATTCATAATACGGTTGCAGAATCATCCCAGCTTCAAACAAATAAATTCTGTCGAGAAAAATATCTGGTCGAAGCGGGAATCGAGCCCACGACCTTCCGATCGTGAGTCGGGCGCACTACCACCGCGGCCAATTCCACAACAACATATTGAGGTATAGTACAAATCTTAAAATGTTAACAGTATTCTAATACAAAGACAAGAATGTAAGTATACAGCTGAATTTAAAAATCTGAGAAACACAATTGAAAGAGTATCTAAAACTAATACACTTTATTACATCCAACAATTAAAAGAATAATAGCGTTTCTGCTTCAAGTAACTTATGACAGAACTCCTGAACCTCTTCAGGCCCTTGATATCGTTCAGTACTTTGGCTATTGAGGTGTATGCTTTGCTTGGTAGTGTGTGCCTTTCTCATAAGTTTATTTATGGTAAGGGACAGATAGCTCATTTCGATGTCTAGCGTGGGGGTTCATATTAGTAGAATATTGATCAGCATTTGTAGGAAACAGATGGGGATATTTCTTTACAAAGTTGACAAGGCCCAGGAAATACAGTGAAGGCACTGTCAAGATGTCTAGTTCAGAAAAGTATGTCCTACATGAAGTATTACGACTCAATCCTAGTATACGTCTCATAATTTTCTTTTGTGTTATGAATATTCTTTGTGAGCTTGATGAAGAGCCCCAAAATATAATTCCATAGGAAATAATTGACTGAACATGAGCATAGTAATATGTTCGCAAACATCTGACTGATACTTGCCCCGTAGATATCATATAACTCCACAGATGGAGTTCAGCCTACTATTCAAGATGTTTATGTGTGAATCCCAGCTGAGGGTTGGATCTAGTATAACGCCCAGGAATTTTATATGATCTGATATTGGAATCGATTTGCAGTTAAGTTTCACAAGTGGGGATTCTTCAAAGTTATTTCTTTTACTGAATGTTATTAGTCCCGTTTTTCCAACATTCAACTTAAGCGTGTTTCCTTCACACCACATGCTTTGTGCGACAGTTGAACCTTTTGTTGAGAGCTCCAACATATTATTTCCTATAACAACAACCGATGTGTCTTCAGAAGACTGATATATACTACCAAGTTTCAATGCATCATTCACATATAATAAGAAGAGAAGGGGTCCAAGAATTGACCCTTGGGGCACCCTTTGAATGATATTAGCTTTGCTAGACAGGTATTCGTCATGTTCATTTATGATAGCAACAACTTGCGAACGATCTGATAGATAAGACTCAATGAGCTTATGACTTACACCCTTAATACCGTAACCTTCTAGTTTGTTCAGAAGTTTTTTAAGGCTTACTGTGTCAAAAGCTTTTGAGAGATCAAAGTACAAGCCTACCAAAGAGTGTCCCCTATCCACACTTTCAGTGATATGTTTAATTGAATTGAAAATTGCTAGTTCAGTAGACATACCTTTCCTGAAACCAAATTGTTGAGCATTTAAAATATTGTTTCATTTATTATGTTAAAGATTTCTATTCAGCTAACTGGTTTGAGGAACATTGTGTTGTATGCATGAGACACAGTTTCATGAACATTTTGTATATTTCCGCATTGAGTGTAAAAGTTATTGAAAGTGTTTGCTATTTCAAAACAATTCATTATAGTTTGATTTTGGTTTTATTTTTGGCTTGATTGAATATACTCCAAATAGTCTTGGATTTATTTTTTGAAGTTGAAATTCTGGTGTCGTTTTGTGCCTTTTTGTACTCCGATAGATATTTCCTGTATGCCTTTCTGTCTTGCTTATATTTAATGAGTATATCTTCACATTTTGTGTCTTTATAAAGTATGTGTAAGTCACCAATATATTGTAAGTAATTTTAATATCCTGTAAGACAAAATTAGTACATTGTATGAGCTTAGTTCTAAAAGAGCTTAAAAATAAATCTTGAAACAAGTAAAGAGTTTACTAAGAGTAATACATTCATTAATATTTTTATTTTAACATTCAGTAGTTTCCAGAAGGGATATTGGTGATGTTTTGGTGGAGTTTTTCCAGATGAATTGAAGATAGCCATAGTGAAACTACTTCAAAGGATAAGTAGAGCATTTTTAACTTCAGACCAATCAATCTTCTATGTATATCAAAATTTTTTGAGATAGCGATGGTCAATCGATTTGTAAAATTCTTTACGAACTTCAAAACTTTTTCTAATTACCAACTGCTTTGATGTACTTCAGCAACGACGTCCTAGAAACAGTATACGAGAGAGACCTATGCTGTGAAATTTTCATTGCATAGATCATGACATTTCATTATGGAAACTTTATAAATATGGAATTCATGGAAAACTTCACGACAGGTTCAATTCATATTTGAAAAACCGAAAACATATAGTAGAATTCAATCAAAAAGAAAATACGGTAAGATTGGATACTTTTGAGTGTGTCTATGGGAATCCCACTGGGTAGCATTCTCGGTCCAATAATGTTCATTATATTTATCAAAGATATTAATGAAGTTATAGCAGACACAAACACTGCTTACATGATCAACTGTGCTGATGATATCAATTATCTATTAACATGTGCGAACCTATCTAATATAAAAAAGAGTATTAAAATAATAGAACAATCCAAAGATTATTTTCCAGAGAACGATGGAATAACAAATTGTATCATGTTCAAAATCAATAACGGTATAGAAACACCACGAAACATAATTATGGACAATCAAAAAATCCCTTGCAACTTCAGTGAAGTTTCTAGGCATATACATTGATGACACTAAGTTGGACTAGTCAGATAGACATACTTTGCATTAAACTATCATCGGTAACATACGCCATGAGAGTTCCAAAGAAAGTTGATCTTGAAGCACTAATAGCAGTATATTATGAGGTTTTTTTTTTACTCTGCTATATAACGAGCTAATCATCTGGGGCTCAAGTCATACGGTGCTCGAGCCAGGATATTTATAATATGCTCGGACTAAGTATTGCGAAAAGTGCGTCCCATGAAGGTCTACGCCTGTATCAAAAATCAAATCTCTGCTTTTGAAAATGACTGAAATACATCAAACTGAAATAGGCCTGCCACACTCTTTGATGAAATGCGAGACTGATTTGTTAAAGCAAAGTGGCAGAGTGTAAAATGTGTCAAAATCCGCAAACCAGAAAGCACAATTTTTGCGCCTTGTTGGAAACACTGATGACAACTGATGGGTATGGCGTTCGTGTCTTCTTGAAAATTTTTGGCTATTTCTTAGACCTCAGAGTAATAAAATGATATTTAGTATTTTTTATTACTCTGAGTATTAGACTGTGTATGGCTAAATGCGCCGTACGGAAGCAAAAGTCAAGATAGCCTAAAGAGAGAGAGAGAGATTTAGAGTATTTAGACTGTTATAATTCCAATATTTTCGATAGAGGTCGCCATATAATTAACTTTGAATTTTTGGGTTAGGAATCAGGATATACTTATTCAAAATATAAGTTAGGTTTGATTTTTTTTAAAATTATCTTACATTGCTTCACCTTGCTTGATAAAAAAAAATGAATTTTGAGGATTCTTGTAAAACATCTATTGGACTTGCTCAAAACTCAAGTGTAATAAGTGATGAAGTTTTCAAAAAAATGCTGGAAAACTGTTTTGCAATATTGACTGGAAAGGAAGAAATTCATAGTGAGTATGGCCTTTATATGAAAACGACCAAAGTGCCATCAGATATTTACAATTAAAATTATCATTTTTGATGTACAATATGTACATAAAGTATGGAAATTATTGATAGTTGGTAATTTGCTGCATTTCAGGTATTATGGGCCTTTGTCAGTCCAAACCTGATGTCCTAAAGGAATTTTATGCTGCTCTGCTTCGTGTTTCCGCAGAATTTGCCAGACGAAGATCATCCACAGAAGACATTCTTCGTTTTCTAAATACAGATTGTGGATTACCTTTAAAGAAATCTAACTTATTCACTGAATATTTTGACAAAAACAAGCTAGCCTTAGAAACATCATTACTGAATATAACTGGAGCTCTGCCTCATGTGACTGATGTTAAATGGAAAATCGACTATATTGTGAAGGTAAAATATAAAAATTCACATGTAGTCCAGCTAATCAATAAAACCTTTGTTTTAGTCAAATACAATGGATTCTTCAGAAGGTCCTATATTCAGAATCAATTTAATATCAGAGAAGTTTGACACAGAATCCCAACACAAGAAATTAGAAAATATCATGTTCAATTGTACTTCCCAAGAGCTGCAAGATCTAGTATACAAACTGAAAGATGCAGTAAGACATTGTAGTTCTGTTACTCAGCGACTACTTTGACATATTTCAAATGGAAAATGTATTCAACAAGGAAACATGAATATTGCTGAAAATTCATGCCCTGGAAAAAAAAATACTTGTACCTATACAGTATCTACAATTTCAAATTGGTACTACCCTCTATATTTCGGCCTCTATAAAAATCAAAAAACATGCAAAAAGGGTCAAATTTATTTTTGAAGGGGTCATTTTATAGGCTGGTTTTCAATAAAATTACATCCTAGCAGAGGCTAACACAACCCCTAAAATCTTAAATGGGTGCTTGGGTTATACTTCATTTCAAAGGTCGTTCAGCTAACTTTTCAAAATACCAAATACTTGACCTTTCTTTCTAGTACTTTGGGAAAAATCAAGTAAAACCATGAAGGTACTCAAGTATCAAGTGTTTTGCAATACAACATAAAACATTAATGAAAACTAACTTGTCTTATTAAATGTTCGAAATGTGATGAAGTCTGCTCTATAATTCCTCTAACTTTTAAAACTTCTGCCTGAAGTTCTCTACAAGCACTGTGATTATTTTCTTCTAATCTTCCAAATCTCAAGGCTGTATTTTAGGAACAATTGATTTTAAATTACCCATAAAAATAAATCTAGAGCCAATAAGTCAGTTCAATTCCAAGTTACTTGGCACATTTGATTACACCAAAAGCTGCTCATCATTTTGAGGTTCAACTTAGTATAATTTAAACTTCACTGCATTCATGTGGAATAAACTTCCTGAGAAAGTTTTTCCAAATTAATTCATGAGAGGTAAGGGGTAATGTATTTTCACCTGATCCTAGAGCATCTAATAAGCATCTGGAGCATCTAATAGGTCCCTAAACAATGGTGACAGCGTTAGTTTGCTGGGAATTATAATTGATGACTCACTGAATGGTCAGTTCACATAGAGCAGCTATGTGCCAAAATCTCAAAATACATTTTTACTTCTCTGTTTGAATGAAGCAAATATTTTTATTTTTCAAGAATTTATTGGTATTGTTTCAGATCGATTCATCTGAATTTCATAAAACGCTATCCTAATGATCACACCGTTGACATCAAAAAGTCATATAAAAATAATTCATAACTTTTTCACAGTAAACGCGAATTTCTAAACTAAAAACAAAAAGATGAATTACATATAGTGTATTACCGATATAAACATAATGATCATAAAATATGGTATTTTTTGTATTCCAGTAATTAAAAATAACAAAAATCTGGTGAAAACAGTTTATTCAATGCACATGTTTATAAAAATTACCCTGTAATGTAACGAAATTTTATATTACAAAAAATATTTCATTAACCGATAGTAACGTTACGTTTGGCCAAGTCATAGTTGATTGACCAAGACCAGCAGCGGCCGGGTTATTTTTCTCAGGGGATAATTTACAACAGTAACTACAGCAAGCGCCAAACGTGATGGCCAGCCTGCCCCTATGCACACAAACTCATTTTAAATATAACCCCCACTACAGATCTTGCAAGATATATGCTCTGTTCAGAGGCGTAACATTACTTGTCCTACAATGTTGTTGTCGTTTGGCATTGTCATAATAATTTGTGTTGCTTCTGAAAAAACGTTATCGCCTAACAAAAAATTTTAATGAACTGTACTACTACCTATAGTACTAAATAAATTATGAAAATACATAGTTATAGGTACGACACTGGCCGGCAAGGGGCTTACTGTAATCCAATGGTAATTTAGTTGAGAGAATCTATACCTGCGCGTTCGTCGCCATCACGTTTGGCGCTTGCTATATATAATATAGAAATGTAAATAAAACTATTAATGTTGAACTGCATTGAGGCAATTCAATTTCAAGACAGCTTTTTATTAGTATCCAACTATATTAGGTGATGTAATTTTCTAAAAATAAAAGGAATATTTAGGCTTACTGAACTTTCTTGGTAGGAAATATTGAGAAATTATTGAATGAACAAAAATAAAATTTTGAAATACTAAACCATTTATTTTTATGATGCTTTCAATATTTCTTTTNTTTAAAGTCATTTTTCAAGAGGGACTATCTGTAAAAGGTAATTAATATTAAATATATCCCAAGAATATTTAACAACTTTTATTAAATAAATATATCAAATTCATTTTTTTTCACTTCAAATTATATCTAAATAAATATGATGCACACATAATTTATGGGATGCAATCTGTTCACAAACAAAACATAAAATCAAGAATATATTGCATTACTGAAAATTCCAAAGACCAAAACTGAAACGAATGTGTTTCTTATCTCACTTTCAATAACTACATAATCAAAAAAATATATCACTATTTTTACTTACATCATCTGTTAATAACAGATGGTTTTTCTCGCATTACAAATTATCAAAGCAAATAATGAAGGTCATTATTTCTCAATCAGTGCAGTAAATAATATTTTTTATGATTAAAGCAAAAACTAAAATACATAATAGTGCTACTGTTTTTGTACAAATGATTTATGAGCTGAGCTGAAAACCATGGCTTATTACGATTTAGATCTCTTTGAGTCACTTATTAATATGTTCCTAGAATTTCTTCTCAAATACTCTAGGTAGGTATAGACTAGAAAATATTTGTCGTTTCCACAATCAGTTTTCTCGATATGGCGCAAAATGATGTGCATCAAAGTAGAAATGTTACACTATCCTTGATGATAATCAGGCTTAGCTTGATAAACATTATTAACAAAAAACGAATTTATGCGTCGATATGTGACAATTAAGCATGGCTACATTATTTCACACCAAAATCAAAGCCAATATCTCCTCAAGAGGTAATAGAAGCATAAGTGAAATTATATCATATATCATAAATAACTCTATGAAATTTGGTGTCTTCCCTTCAAGACTGAAACTATCCCTAGTGAAACCTATTTATAAAAAGGGGGATTCTGAACTTATGGAAAACTCTTGACCTATAAATATTCTACCAAGTTTTGCTAAATTATTTGAGCTAGCTATGTGTAATAACATTACAAATTTTCTATATAAATGTAATATAATTAGCAATAATTACGGATAGTTACAAGAGAGATTAACAAACAGTGCAATATTTCAATTTATTCAAAATATAATAAACTCAATGGAAAGAAAATATTTAGGACTTGGTATGTTCTTAGATCTGTCAAAGGCATTTGACTGCTTGAATCACGAAATACTTATAAAAAAACTAGAACTATATGGTATAAGAGGAAACTAACTGAAATGGATTGAATCTTACCTAACAGATCGTCAACAAATAGTAACTATTAACAAACATGTTCGAACATACAAATCTGAGAATGCGGCAGTGAAAGTAGGAATACCCCAAGGAAGCATTGCGGGTCCCTTATTATTCATTATCTACATAAACGATTTATTGTTATCATTCAAACACACATAATTCAATTACAGTCTTTGCTGATGACACTAATTTATTAATAGGCCGTGAAACACCCTGAAGTAGTAAAAACAGGTATGGAAATGTTTAATGATACAAAAGAATGGTTTACTAGGAATAGGTTAGGTTAGGTTAATTCATTGTTTCATTCTATGTTGTCTATGTACAAGCTGTAATAGTCGGCATATTTTTGAAATAAAGATTATTATTATTATTAAAACGATCGCCATCAGAGTGGACTGCACGTGGTGAACCGATTCCAAAGCGTGCAAAGACGCAACAGTCGGCTGACAAGGTTATGATATCAGTATTTTGGAATGTGCATGGTAAAATATTCATAGACTATCTTGAAAAGAAAAAAACCATTAACAGCGACTAATACATAGCAGAATTGGAGCCTGATTACGAAATCGCCGGAAAACGGCCCCATTCGAAGGAAAAGAAAGTTATGTTTCATTAAAACAATTCACCGTGAAACAAATCAATGAAAACAGTGGCAAAATTGTTTTCAAATCCACCGTATTCTCCAGATCTGGCCCCCAGCAACTTTTTCCTGTTTTCAGACCTCAAGAGAATGCTCGCTGGAAAAAAATTTAGCCCCGATAAAGAAGTAATCGTCGAAACTGAGGACTATTTTGAGACTAAAGACAAATCTTACTATATAAATTGTATCGCAAAATTGTATGAATAATAAAATCAAAATGTACCAGAAACATTTTTTTTTCTACGTTAGCCAACGAACTTTTCAGCCCAACTGTTAAAATACAAATTACTGATGACCTTTTAATGTTTTATAACAGTAACAAAAACAGTCCCAATTCAACCACTGTGATACAATATACTTTCCAACTATTTTTTTTTATGTCGGTGAAAATGACTTCTTGATTTTATATTTTACATAGCTGAAGGAGGTAATAATATACACTGAAAGGGTGATATATGCGATAACAAGGAAAACGTCAAGCATTCACAATTCAAAAATAGTAGAGCTGTTCAGACAAATTATAAACAAACACCCCAATGAGCTTGTATATTATTTCTATCGTTTCACCTTTCGTGTATTGGATATTGGTAAGGATATTTAAATAATAACTTTCTCAGATAGTAAAATGATTTGAGAATTCCATTTCAGTCAAATAAGTCGGTGGGTTAACAGTTAATTCTTAGAAGCATAATGAAACATTTCAGAACTATATTTGCGTAGTAGACTTCACCTTATGATATTTTCAAGAATGCATTCACCATAGCATAACATCAGGGAAGTACAAGAAAAAAAATTTTGTAATAAAAAACTATATGAAAAGACAAATCTAACAATACAAAAATGAGATGGTTTTCAAATACTGGATTTTTCTGAAAGTAAATGTGAATGCTGAAAGTACAAGACCATTAGAAAAACGAAAACATACATAATTATGCTCTGAAAATATTCATAATCAGAGTTTAGAACTACTTTTAAAACTTTTGTTTAGAAAGTAATAATAAAAAAAACTTGGTTTATTATTTCCTGATTTTTTTTTTGTAATTGACAGTTTCAATTCTCTGTGCATTTGACAAGACTTGAATTGAACAGAAACGAATAACATAATAGCTATCGATGTCATCAAATTTAACCTGACTACTGGAAGGTGAAAGATTTCAAACATTCAAGCAAGGAACATACTATCTATCAATAGTCAATAAATAAAAAGAACGATGAGAGACCCTAGGTGACTGTTTAATGAGAATTAAGGCTTTTGCTCAGTTAAAAATATATACATGATGGAACAAGAGACATCAGAAACTTCAACAATGTTTGAGAAAAATGCAAGAACCTGTCAATTCTTGGTAGGAAAACCCCTTTTTCTCGTATTTGTGGCACTTGCACTCTGAAGCATAATAATCGTCCCAAAATGTTTTGGTGACATATGACTTCAACATATACATAGGTGAAGAGGAACAAACACAAGAAGGAACCTTGGAAGAGCGGGTTGTCAATACTATTATATCTACTATAGAAACACCGGACGTCATTTCAATCGTGGATTTATTGAAATTTCTACAATATCCAGCCCTAGTAATTTGAATTTTTCCGAGAATAAATATGCCGGTGATCAAAGATAAAATTGAAATGGAGACAGTCAATGTTTTGATGTACCTCAGATAAACTGATGTTTGTAAAATGGCGAGACACAAAAGAGGTCTTAATGTTGGATAATTGCCATAATGACCATGTCGCCCAGGTCCAAGGTCAAGTTTCCCCCCGGAGCCCGGAGCCATTTTGTAAAAAATGGGAGGGGTTGATGTGGCAAATCAAATGTCCAGACTCTACGACATTGACCGCGAAACAACGAAGTAATGGAGAAAGGTATTCTCCCGTTTGGTGATGATGGCTGCTGTCAGTGCAAGAATTATCTGTATACAAGTAAACGGCAAGAAAACTCCTTTTTTGGAATGTCTCGTTCCTTTTTAGGGGAATTTCTTTTAGGAGTACCTGACGGGTCTGTTCTTGAACTTTTGACTTTTATACTCTTTGTAAATGATCTTCCAAACCATTTGACCTCTAGAAAAGTCGCCATGTTTGCAAACAATACAACAGTCAAAGAATGTGGAGGAACTCCTGAGAGCTCTACAAGAATATTCACATACCTCTTACCGAAATGGAATTATAGTGTGAAAAAATCTTCGGATTCTAATTGAAGATAAAAGTAATTATTTTAATTTCCACATGACGAAAAAACTCCCAAGTATATTTACATCATCAAGTTTAGCAATGTCAAATTACGTGGTACTTGGATAGATTTTGATCTAATTTTCTTCCCACATAGATTTTGTCTATTAACACCACTCGTCCACGGACATGAACCAGAACCTGTGTACCCACAGTCGATGCTTAGGAGTAGGCAGATTGAGACCCATTGGGGAGGCCAGTAACGAGACACGGGGAGTAGACAGATTGAGACCCCGGCGTCAACTCACAAAACCCTTATCGCGTGTCATTACCCGAGGAGTAGGCAGATTGAGACCTCAGTGTAGTCATACCTTCTTGAAAATAGCTTCAAAGTGGAATAACTAATAACATATATCAATAGTATTTCATCAACATTCCTGCACTATTTACTTGTATATAAACTTATTAATTTTTACTGTAAATCATTATTGTATAGAATATTTTATGACTTGCCATTTGTACAATGTACTCTAATATCTATGGGTAAGTAAATACTACTTGTTATTCTTATAAAATATGAGTTAAATATGGTGGCTTAATGCAGTATATTGTAATAACCTGTTGTATTGGGCAGTGTTGAATGTGATGTCACCATAAACGGTTACGACTGTATTACATTTTTTCATATCGGGTTACACTGTTGAGTCAAATCAAGCAGGCAGCTGAACAAATTTATATTTGAAATGCATTTTTTTACAAAACTATTAAGCAGAATTTTAAAATATAACTACAACTATAAATTAATACCAAGAGCTTTGTGACATCCTACAAGACCTCCATTAAAATAGTTTGAGGGTGCAAGTAGAGAACTCACAAACACTGAAAAAAAGTGCTCCGGTTTAATGAAAAAATCAACATGTCATCGTGTTTTTCTAAAATGTTGATGAAGTTTTGTTAATTACATGAATACCTACAAAATTTTACAGATAGATTTCAATATATGAACTAAGAAAGAAATAAATTACTTGATTACCACTCGGATTGACTAGTACTCTCAAATCTGAGAAAACACTGGAAACATCTTTAAATTTTTTACCAGAAAAAAGTAATTTGATATAATTTTCACATCTCTACAACTGTTATCAATTAAATACCCTTACAAACTAAAGAATCACAGAATTGTTATACACGGTATACACTGATTATCCACTTGTACTATCAATAAGGTTTACTCTAAATATAATATACAATTGGTGCTGTAAATGCTACCTAGAGTGAAGAGCATCGGAACTTCGACAATGATTGTCGAGCAGTTGTGAGCAGTATCTAGATCTCCAGTAGAGTATGGCCTAGCTATGTTTCTTCGTAGCTTTTTGGACAACTTGGACGACCGAGCTGACAGATGACGCTTATCATACGGCAGGAGAAATTGTGGTTTCTGAGCATAGTTCAACTCGAAAGAGTTCAGGAGTTCAGGCCGTCATAAGTCTGGAAATCTGAAACATATATTTTGAGTAATATCTAAAATATGATAGTGATGACTATATACTGACAAATGATAAGTAACCAAACTTTAAATATTCTAATCATAAATTTTCATTCAAGTCACATGTATGTACTCCACCGTTTCATCTGCTTCAAACATAATTAATAATACTAATGGTCTTTATTGGGTGAAATACAATATAACATCCAAAAGGCGAAGTTCAAAACTGCAGTGTAGAACATTAAAGGTTTGTTCTACCACTTAACCCACAAACTACTTACTCTCTAGACGTTTCACGCAGATGATCAAGGTCAAAGTCGCTTTTGTAGTTCATTGTTTCGTCCTATAGGGGTCTCTGCAGTGAAAAGTTTCTCTACAAGAATCTCTATAGCCCAACTTAGCAATGATCCTAATTGCATACTTTTGTATACAAAACACACGAGACACGGTAGAGGATGTGCCCCAGTTAAGGATGCCATATCTAAGATGCGAATTGAAGTGCACGTAATAGACAGTTAATAAAATACTTGAAGACTGGCAGTAAACAAATCTAAAGAAACGAACTTTAAATGTTCAAGCCAATCTGGGATATACCAACACAGTAGGTTGAATGGACTGACGCCTATGAGAAAACAACTACTCCCCTGGCTAATACCACGAACGGCGTTGAATTATATCCGACAGGCGTCAGTGCAGGAATCTTCACAGAAAATTTCCTGCATATGCAATTGGCAATACAATTGAAAGAGTAGATTTGTTTTTAGGAATTTATGAATCTGACGAAAATTTTGGGAAACTTAACAACTATAGGAATTGTACGACCTCTGAATGTTTTTGGTGTGTGGGGCATACCTTGTTATTTTATAATTGTTCAAGTTGATCACACCATATTGACTACTTTGAGGAATAGTTATCCACAAAATGTAGAAATCAAGTTTTTCAATAAATATATTTTTGGAACTTTGTTATTTGCAAAAAGGGAGATAGAGATACAAAACATTCCTCATTTTGTGGTTGATGTTGAAGCTTGTTTTTTTTAACAAACCATCACTGAGACTATTATTTACCTTTGATGAGATTCTGAGATTTTCAAAATTATTCGAGTAAAGTTTTCAATAAACATTTATCCTACGGATTACATTACCTTGTAGGATCTTCAAAATAGTTCTTCGGAGTCATAAATAGGTGTTTGGGAATGTCATCTCTGAACTCAAAATGCTGGAATGTAATTTTTGCCGTTACAGTTGGCAATATTGGTATTTCCACTTTGACCGGGAATCCGCTGGGTAGTTTGAAAGTAATGAAATCCCTAAGTTTAGAAAAGTGCTTGAATGGTGCTACGACTTCTAAAACATTGAGGAGCATCTCCACTGAAAGCGGAAACTCGGAACTCTACAAAAAATGATGGCAATGAATCATAACATGTTTAAAATAAATCAGTTACTCAGGATTACAAATCTTACCATTGCAATCGTAGCTTTGAAGGCTTTGGATGATTCCTTATACACGAGATCTCTTCCTAATCTAGGATAATTATTCACATCTGATTTTATATATTCCTCCCATGTAACTTTTTTTTCAGGAGGTGGAATTAAACTATTTCTTCTTACAGGCTGAAAAAAATTATGTTGGTGTAAAAGTGAGTTGTTAATGCTTTATGATATTTCTCATTTGTGAAGTTGCATTACTATAAAACAGATGTTTTTATTTTGGTTAATAGTCTACTGATACTCACAGCTCCATTTTGATCAAAGTTTTGAAAGGTTCCTCCCTTCGTAAAACTTTCCAAAATAGCTTTATTCTTTTGAAGATCATCTGAATTGAGGTGTTCTCTTCGTTTACGGCTCTCTAACATTAAACCATGAACAGTGTATAGTTCACTTTCATACTGTCCAGCAACTAATTCCTGAAATGTTTTTTATATGGTATTTATCAAGACAAATATTTGTCACATAATATAATTTTTCAATCGATACAACAATTATATGACACTTGATAAAAATCCATTATAATGTATTAAAAAAACGATTTAATGTGAGATATCCACTTGATAATTTATAAAACCGCAACATGTGTTTCGCTATACAAGAGTATCTTCAGGCATCACACTATTTACGAGTATTGTGACGCGAAACACTTATCGCGGTTAAACTGTCAAGTGGAAATCTTACATTAAAATGTTTTTTGAATACAATACAACAATTTCTAACATACAATTTTCATTGCAATAATAATCTTTATTTTCAAATTTGAAACACTTCCAGAGTCAAACTTATTTTCAGATCATTTGATAGAATATTAAATATTGTTTCAGCAATATCCGATGCTCTATATATTTTGTAAATTTGTGAAAATAATTTTTGGACCTTGTGTTCCTGATATTGTTGCAAATTATCTACTTAAGAAAAATAACGCCGGCCGCCTCTGGTCTTGCGCTTCTCGATCATTCTAGATGTCGCGTCGCTTTGAGATACTTCCTTATCGGCTTCCAGATTTCCATAACAATATATAAACACTACCAACAGGCAGATGGGACAAGTCTAGTTGAAAGTGTACGAAATGAGGTGATAGACATTTGAGTATCAGTCTGAAGTTTCAGTTGTATTGTCAGTAAAGCAGTAAAATAAAGTTGTGTTTAATTATAAAATGTAGACAATTGTGGTCAAATTCAGGAGGAAACCATAACACTATGGATAGTAGACCTTACATCGAAATCGTTCATGTTTTTAAAAACAAACACATAAGTCTATTTTATCATGGGGTTACGTGTTTTTTCAGCAGATGTTTGAAACCTGTAGTACACACAACATAGGTATCTATTTGAATTCTATATGAAGTATTTTTCTCATCTACATTTTTGTTAGACCTAATTGTTTGTTTTTCTCATTTGAAAATCTGTTCCACCGTGGACTTTTTGTTAGTTAAAAATATTATGTTCCAATTTGGATTACTGAAAATTATTTTATGCTTACCCTTTAAAAATTAGATATTATGAAATAAAAAAGCTTCTACTTTCTTCCTCTCCATAATCTCCATAACATTTTTTGTTTAAAATTACTATTATATTTCAATTATGTATATATTTATATATGTGTGTATATATGTAAATGTGTATGGGTGTGTATATGTATGTATACAGTGTGTAACAACGAAAACTTAACAGAGCCGTTTTTGAATATAAAAATTCAGATTTTTAAAAAAGCTCGGACACGTTGATTTCTAATT